GTACCAGCAGCAAAGGTTTCGTCTTTCGGTATATAGAAACAGTGCCATAAGAAGCGACACTGTATGTATATTGTCCCACAGGGGACACACTATACAACGTTGCTTAGCATGTTGCATGCAAGTTGCTTTTTGCGGTATGGGGCTGTCATTGTACAGAATTAAGGAATGCAGCACCCAAATGCCCGCATATGCCGGACATACCAGCTTTCAAAAGCAAGCGCAAACGGACACGAGGACATGCTGTTGAGAGCTCCATGTAGCCAAAACTCCAGAGCAATGCTTCGAAAAACAGACACTCTAACGGGATTGCGGCAAATGCTGAAAAGCCTTAGTTCTAGGATCTAGTTCGCGTAGGGCATGACTGAACCAGACCAATGACTAAAGGCGCATTTGCTAGCAACTTCGATCTACAAGGGTTTTGCATTTAGAGCTTAGAGAGCAGTCACACAGGCATGAAATACGAAAATGTACCGACGGCAGGAAGGCGAGGGTTTCGGCACATTGTAGCAGGGTTTCGAAGAGGCTCTTCTAGAATTCATCATGTTGTACGGGCTTGACCTGGTCAGTATCATGAAATCACCGGTTGTTGGAAGTATAGGTGCAAGTATTGTTTGCAACTTTCTGGGTTAATCTCCAAGCTAGGTTTGCAGAGTTGGGCAAGAACGCAACGAAATGTACTGGAACGAGCAGTGTGAGAAACCTCCGTAGTCATACATAGAGACTTCGAAACTGTACTGCGTATTTTATGTTGGTTTCGACTTGGACACAACACCATGTGAATTCGCTGTTATTTATATGCTCTGGTCCAGATTCAAGGAGATCTAGGGTTTATAAACTTTGCCGGGGCTTATAAACTTTCGGTTGGTTTCAAAACCAGTTGCTGATTCCACGACAAGAGTACAGCAGTGTGGAAATGCAGAGGAGGACAGTACACAGCCCGTATATACATATGAACAGAATGCAGTCATACACATGTCTACGGATATGCTTCCTATACGCATGCATACAGATTTGAAAACAAGCTGCTGCACAAGTTGCTGCAACCCCGTGCACATATATAAACATGCAGACATACACAGGAACACCTTCCGTTAGACATAATGCTATTTGTGTACTTCCTCCATGCATAGCGCAATTGCTGCCTGCAAAAACAAATCCGCTCTCGCCCTCATTCGTTCATCTTAATGAGTTTGCATCTTTAGATGCCGTCTCGCGGCCTCTTCTCCCCAAGAACCACTTCCAGCGCCCGCGCTCGCCGAGGATCAGCGCAGCCAGCCGCGAGCTCCGCAGCATCTTCAGCTTCCGACCGCGCCTCCAAGCCAGAAGCTTTCAGCGCTTCTATCTATAGGCTCCGGTAAACCCTGATCCCCAACCGACAGCTCTGCTTCGTGGAATTCCCCACGGGCTTGCCAGAATTCCCCCAAGAATCATCATCCTCATTTTGCCCTCCACACCGAAAGCCTGAAAACAGTGAGAGAAGTGTGCAAAACATCTTGCAAAGGTGAAGTGAGTTCTAGCAGACTCAAACCGCACAGACACCCGCCTACATCTCGGAATACCCGAATGTGCTTGGCTAAGGCTCTCTGGGTTTCCATTATTGAGCGTATTGATGTAAGCCATTCTCGCTTTTCTCTTGTTGATGCATGTGGCTGCGTTGATGCTAGGTGGGGCACTTGCAACAAGAAGATTTCTGCAGATATGTCTTATCTGTCGCCTGGCTAGGACGAACGAAATTTGAAGCCTAAGGATAGTATTGTGCTGCCGAGGCCGTTGGCTGCTGATGCTGCGATTTCAGTTATCATACGTGCAAAACTACCGGGTCCCTTCAAAAGCTGTAGTTTAAGACCTTTCTGCGCTACTTGCAGTGCAGCTACAGTCTCGTTGTCTTGCTGTTGCCCGGTCAATTTGGTGTGCAAACCCCAGTGTACCATTTCTGGGTGAAGCAGGGCCCCACATTTTAAGCAAAACCACTTTACTTTTCAAATAGCCAGACGGCTGTCGCTACGTGCTTGTGTTCTACTTTCATCTTGGCCTGCTCCCCAAGCCCCCTTACCTTACGACACGTATAGGTATACAATGCTATACGCACAGCTCTGCCACACGTCACGCTTCATATCCCATTCTGTAGAAACACACCTCATTGAAATCGGTGCTTCTGACGACGGCTGTGTCAAGTCATTCCTCGCTGTAGCAACCCGCTCATGGTTCTTGTGGCATCGTCTATGCTGGCCAGGACGCTGTTTGGGACAGTAGCTGAATGTGAAGGACGGGCGCTTTGGCCGTTCCAAGCAGCAAGGGCTAAGCTTAAGGGTCAAGGGCTTCAACCAAGTACTTCTGAAAATGTGGGGCGTGAGGATCGGACAAAGCGAGGATGTCACAATCAATAAATCTTGGGAGGAATTCTGGGAAGCGTTTGCAGGACCCTTGGCCTTTTTCAGACTCAGGGTTTGGGATTCGGGCTCGAGGGTTAGGGCAGCTCAACTGGATTTTTCTGGCTTGCGGCCCTTTACTCTACCGTCACCCGAAGTCCCTAAACCCCCAAACTTTAACGCTTCAAAAAACAAACCGATGAGAACTGTCAGGCTGCAAATCGACCATGCAGCTGCTGAAGGAGCGCCCTGGCAAAGCTTTCAGCGGTGGCGTCTTCTGGTAGAGTCTGGTAGAGATTACAATGACGAACTGCATGGACGCATTAAGTATGTGGACTCAGGAGGATCGAAGCCTGCGCTAAGCTATGGAAGCAGTAGATGAAATTGCATTCACGTCGTCATTTAAGTACATCATGCATATGCAAGTCTCACATGGAGGTGTGGGAAGCCCTTCGGGCCTTTCCATCTCGCCAGTCGTTTCTGCGGAAACACCACGGCGGAGGTTCGTCGTAGCCCGCAAAACTTGCATTCTTAAAGCGCGGGTTTCTCGCTGGCGGCTTCCTCTGATGAGTTTCAAACCCAGTTTGGGGTTGGTCCGCCTCATCTGGGGTCTCGCATGGCCTCTCATATGGCCTGCCGGAAAACGAGTCCAGATTTGGGCTCGCAGTCGCAGGCTTATGAGGAGAATCGGACAGCCACTCTGGCAGAGACATAACGACTCACCAGCAGAAGCAAAAGAGTGCAAAGAAGAGGCTCCAAGAAGGCCGTCATGGTGCCGGATTCTAGACTTTGTCTCGTTTGGAGGTCGGGAAAAGTCAGTTCCCGAAGTCTGTCGTATGAATACAGGAGGGCGGGGGGATGGGGCTGCGGTTCTGAAACCCAAGCCCTCGCAGCTCTGAAATCTTGGGAAATTAAGGATCCCCACTACAGTTTCAGGACTATTCCGGATCACAATAGCGGTCTGACAAGCCTCAGCTTCGTCAGAGCCCGTCTTCGCGCATTGGCGTCCCCGTCGCTCGCTGCCAGCCTCGGCTTATGGGTCTCGGCCGGCTTTTGCTTGGAGTGTCTGCGTTGTGTTGCTTGCATCCTACAATGCAAGGTCTGGCCCATTGTTCTGTGGGTAGGGGTTTTGGGCGCTTCAGGGTTCGAGTGCTTGCAGAACCGGGATCATTTGCTAGGGAGAAGTCAACAGACCCCAGCCGAAAGCTCAAGGATTGCGAACAAAAAACCCAAAGACCCTTCCGGCCGAGCTTCCGGTCCGAATTCAGGCCATCCACACCAAGACCTGCGAAATTCAGCGCACATCAAGCTCCTCCCCTAGAGGCTTAAAGCTTCCACACTGGCCAGCCATACATCCGTGCAGTGTTCCATGAACCGGCAGGTTTGACTTTTGACTTCTGAGCATTTCTGAGCCGAACATTCCGATGGCTCAACATCCCAATCTATGCAGGCAAGCCGCTCCGGCTCAATTCGTCAAGCCTGGGAGGGCTCATGGCGCGAGAATCGTGTCATGAGAGCGCAGAGGAATGCGCAGAACACGTGACACAGGCGCGACCCGAGAGTCCGGATGGGAAGGCAGATTGAGGACCCGTGCCACTTGGCACTATGCAAAGCACGGTGACGCAAGTCGGAGGAAAGCTGAAGGCGACTCTTTACCCCTGCCACTCTAAACACGGCACCCCAGCATAGTTAGAGACACCGCACGCAATAAGAGACTTTACCTAGCCCCAGTGCTGCAGTCAGGGGGCCGCAGGAAGGCCAGGACGCGCTCCAGTTGTTCAGACAGCGTCTTCGCCATCAGCCTGAAAAAGCGCAAAGACCACGGAACGAAGAATAGCTGTTGAAGGCTCAAGGTTCCAGCTTTTGGGTTGAAGGTCTCGGCTCTCACACTCAAACACTTCAGGAGAGGCACGATCGCAGCAGGCTTGTTGTTGGTGATACTTCTAGTGCCGTGTAAGTTCTAATTGGGACCCCGATCAAGAAGCTGACGGTGCGGAGGGGAGGAACAGCGAAGGGCACCCGCAAACCCAGCGGGAAACACGAATTTACTGGGACTGGGCTTCGCATCCGCGGCTCCGACCCGAAGGTCTCACACGGTGCTTCTGCTGGGACGATGGACAAGACTGTCCTTCATGTCGGAGGTCAAAAGACGTTGACCAGTATCACCCCAAGCCTCACTTACATAAGATGTGCATGATTCTGCAGTGTGCACTTTGGTAGCTCTCTGAGAGGTCAAAAAAGCAAACTCGAACACCAGAAATCGTACAGGAAATACAACTCCTCGATTCAAAACTCCATGCCCCACGTCCGATATCCCCTCTCTATCCAAAGCTGCGATGAAATATCTGTATACGGAACCCTTAAACCTTAAGACCCCAGACTGCTCGGCCTGACGTGGAGTGCCGCCTCGGTAGGTCGCTCTGGGGGTGGCGGAAGTAGCTGCAAGAACTCATCCTGCGTCTCCTGACAACTTCTTGGTACTTCGTGTGCTCGGAGGTTTACAATGGGGTCTCTGGGGGCGTATGAAACCCATGTTAATTCCCAGCGCCTGCAGAACGTGACTACGGCAGTGACTACGGCAGCAAAGGCTCGCGCTTGGTTTTCGGGTCTTCCAGCAAAGCACGGGTCGCGTCAGGATCTCAAAACACTTATCCCCTCGGCAGTGAAGGCAGTCATGTCTTCGCATTGCTGAACGAACGCGGTCCAGTCACCAGAGCCTCCCGCACGCTCCCAGTGTCGACGCAAAGTCTCAGCTTGCTCTTTGCCACCCCGTGCCTGCACAGAAATCTGGGCCCCATGACGAAGCATGAGATCATAGGCTTGCAAGGCCTCTCGACCACGGTGAACGAATCTCCCAAACAAGGTATCCCAAGCAGTCAGCACATTGTGGCCTGGGATTAAGCCACCTCGGACGGTTGGCTCTGCCTGCAAATCCTCGCGGCATCGCCTGACAGCCTGTGCCACATCCGCGCTCCTTGTATCAAGCGAGATCATTCGCACAAGCAAGGTGTTTGCCACCTCCTGCCTTGTAGCCATTGCATGCCTGTGTGACAAGTGCGGCTGCACCCAAGTCGCAAAATTCTGTCCATTCAGAAAGAAGCGGACCTTGGGCCAATAGTGGTTGAACGACCCTACACAGCAGATCTCGTGGAACAAGTCCAACACGTCTTGTCCCACTGGCTCACCGTTCGGCCACAGACTCAAGGTCCTCACACAGAGGTCAATGCTCCCATATTTCATGCATTTTTCACCAAAACGTGCCCTGTGCCCTTGAAGCCGCAGATCGGTTGTCTGACCCTGGTGGATAGCAGGAAAGTCGTTATAGAACCGGTACTTCGGACGCACGGCCCAGCCGCCTCTGAGCACCACCCGCCCAAGCCAAGTGATGTCCGGGCACTGTGTTGCAACAGCGGCCAGCTCTTGCCAAGTCTGGGCAGCCACGCCAGGTTGCCGTGGCTCAAGTCCTGCTAGGCTCGAGCCCGCCACAGCAGCAGCGGCCTCAGCATCACTTGTACTGGTGCGGGGCAGCTGAAAGTGCGGATGGTGGATGCCACGGCCAACGCCTGTCTCGCCGTCTGCGCTGACGCATTCTTCAGAAGAGCTATCTGCGAACTCCGCCGCTTCGTCCCGGACGAACTGCATGTCCAATCCGGACTCCTCGTAGAAAAGGCAGAGTGTCTCCCAAACCATGTCCTCGCCATACTCCGGATTTTGCCTGATGAACCTTGCTGCCATGTCTTTGCCAACCACACAAGCGAAACCAGGAAATATGCCGGGCACCTGCACTGTCACATCACCCCGCATCAGCATCGGCTTTCCATACAGAGAGAACGAAGCATAATGGGTGCAGAAGGCGGCCTCGAATCGAGACCTCATTGCAAAGCTGTCCTCGTCACACCCAGATCCATAAAAGCACGGTAGCACCCGTTCCGATCCCAGCACGTCATTTTCAGGACTCGTCCTTCAAGTGAGACTCTACTGAGCTTGGTTCAACAAGGGAACAGGGCATGCAAAAACACCCCCATGCTGAAGCAACAGCACTATGCTCAGGATGAACACTTGCCTTTCCCCCTGTTTGCTTGCATGTTTCTTGCCTGTAAAGAGCCTGAATACAAGCGCGATGGAACTACCTTATTTATAGTTAATAGATAGACTTCGTTGAAGGTTCAAAGCCGTGGTGCGTCCCATGCTGGAAGAAATTCAGTGAGGGTGTGCCCACCAGGAGGTAGCCAGAGAGGCAGGGAAGCTCTCGCCACTGGTCCTCAGATGAGAAGCTGTCCTCATTCCGGAAGCATATGCGGGTCACGAAGTCGTGGACCAGGCCGCGCTTATTGGTGGTAGGTTCATTCTTCCAAGTACACAGTTCTACTCGGTCCACTGAAAACTGGTCGGAAGGTAGCACGGCGATCATGGAAACACCTGCGGGGTGCTGCAAATATTGCCTAGATGTGCATATTCGAGGTGTATCGAGGTTTGAACTCATGTCGGCAAATCCTTCACCCTCTTTCACTCAGCCCCGTTCATATCCAACTATACAACCGATATTTGCGGTCAGAACCCGAAACTTCGAGAAGCCGTGCCTGAGAGATTGGGGCACCACAAATTGTCCTTCAAGCTTTCGAGGATAGCTTTCAGGCTCTGGTTGAAGTGATGCAAGGGGCTCGCCCGTGCCCGACACCGAGATAACTTCGCCAGGACTAGTGCATCACTGTCGTTGCCACTGACGCGATCATGCCTCTCTGCCTCCGTCACTGCTTCAGGCGTTCCTTGAGCCCATTGCACAAGGTGCCACCCGGGGTCGGGCATGAGGCGGAGGTGAATGTGGCGTAGGCACGTGCAGCGAGGCAGGAAATTGCGCAAAACGTAAGACCGAACGGCCAGACCTGGGGAAATTGCAACTTCAAGCACATCTGCATTCCAAGGACAAGCCGAGACATCGACAACCGGCAACGTCAAGTCCAAATGACAGATTCTTCGCTCACGAATATGCTGCAGCTCACTGGCTGAGCACTGGGACTGGATTGTCGCAGACGTCATCGACAAGTGCTGCAGATCTCCTTCGTACAAGTAGATGCAATCCAAGATCTCGCGACGCACACCTTGTCGTGATAACATGGTCACCAGGCATTCTTTGGACCGGCCGGCCATGTTCGAAAAACTCGTTGATTGGACACAGTTCGAACATAAACCCCCAACTGTCCACAAACCCGTGACAATGCGGACCCATCTCCTGAAAGCTTTTGAACTCGGGCCACCAAGAAGCGGTGCTTCAGTTGGCTCTGGAGCTTGCTGCGAGGGTGGAGTGAGGCACCATGTGAGCAAATCAAACAAAGCTCCCACCGCTAAACGACCATTAATGGCACCCTCTTCAAGGCAGCGGGGATGCCCTCCACTTGACATCTTGATTCAGGGCTTCGGCAATGGTGGTCTAATCCATCCCCAGCAAAGTCTGCAATTGGCGTGGCTACTGTTCTGCCGTTCCCCTTAGCAGTACGATTACATTGGGGTTGCCATTTGCCATTGTTTCACAATCGTACATGTACATGCCTGGCTGTACCTATGTTTACATGTACGGGCATGAACTCCATACACTCTTCAACCAATCTCGAAAGACATCAGCCAAGACCCGAAAGAGGCCACAGATCAGCGGGACGCTCTCCAGCCTATGTCTAAACCTTTTGGGCTCTGACTCCGGCTTGAACCCTCCTCGGCTACCGCTGCGCCATCTGCGAGGGGAGCGCTTCGGAGACCTCACGCACGTGGGGTGTGGCGGGCTGCGGAGCAAAACATCGCGACACTAATTCAATCTGAACTATGTCGTCGGGCAGCACTTACACAGCACCTGTGACAGTCAGACCAGTAATCGATTTTTGTGCACTGCGCGATGTCGAACAACCATAATCTTGGAATAGGGTGTGAGGAGGGGGGGGGTTGGAAACAAAAACTTCCAATTTCTAATGCTTATAACCCTCTCTGTAACCCTGCCTTCCGCCAGCTGCTGGAAGAGGGGCGCCGAGCTCGGATTCACTGGGAAGGTCAACATCAATTCAACGGAGTCGAAGGGATTTTCCTCAGTGGAAAATGTACCCCCTAAACCTTTACTTCAGCCTGAAACCCCAATCTGGAGGGGTGGGGCCACTGAACGGGCACATCTTTGCCCACTGTCTCTCACTTTCACGGCGAGAAAACCCATAAATGGCTTCGCACTTAGATGGCCGAAGCTTTGGGGGTTGCCAGGCTCAGTAGCGGTAAAAAACTAACACCTTTTCAACAGGACCAGGACTTTGAAGGCCAGCAGCAGGAACGACAAAGCCGCCCATGAGCAGCAGCCGCCCGTTTGAGGCTGGGGAGTAGGAATAAAACGCCTCACGGGCCATACCGACAGAGACAAGCCTCATGTATAGTCATAAGACTTAATTAATTAAGACTTAAGAACAACAGGAGCAACAGCACCCATGACAGCGACAGCAACGAGATAATGAGAAACAACGATGACAAGACAAACAACACTTTCTCGGAGCGGGGGCGTACAGAAGCATGCAAAGCATCATGACTTTAACAAGGACCACTGCAGATTTAGATTCACGATGGCGGTAGATGCTTCTTCGTCCTTACACCCACCTGGGCATCCAGCAACGGTGCAATGACCTGCAAAAGAACGGTCAGCAGGAGCAGCAACACCACCACCACAATCACCACCATCATCAGCAGAAGCCCATCTGCAAAGTTGACAAGGGGGATGTCCCGGTTTGGGTGCGAGGTTGGAGACTCTCTGGGATGCGTTTCGGGGAGGTTGTGAAGTGTGAGCCTGCTCTCCCTCGGCGAAGGGTTTGAAGGCACGGATCACTAGCATGTCTTTTCCCTCGACCGTCTCCAGCTTGACATCCTCGTAACCTCAAGCCGGTTGCCGTCACACAAGTTGCGATGCTCCCTGTTTCTTGCGCGCATTGTGTGTCAACTTCTGCCCCCCATGCATGACTTTGTTTCACGACACAGTGCCTTGCTGTTCTGCATGCGATGCGGGCTTGCAAAGCCACTTCCACATGGACTTGGACAAAAACCAACATGACCATAGGAGCAGCAAGCGCTGAACCCTAAAGGCCTTGAAACCTCAACATCAAAAGACCATCACTGCTTGCAAGCTGCCCACTGCTTCACAGCTGTGGTTGAACCTCGCAGGCCCAGGTGGCATATCGAACCAATCTAGCTTGCTAGCTTGGCGTGCTCAATGCAAACTGCTGCATGAAATAGACACTCGGCCAGGGACTCAGAGTTGGAAGCGCTCGGGCATAACAATATAACTTAACACAATCCGAAGCGACTGTGCTGAGACGCGGATCCAGCGACCATCAAAGTTTGTCGGGGTTCCGGGTGCAAGAACGGTGTTCAAAGTTGAGCAGTACAGTTTTCGCAGCCCGGTTCCAGGAAGCAGGTCTTTACGTGGGGTTTCGACTCGCGCTCACACAGGGCAGGCGCAAATTCCAGCAAAAAGTCTCTCAGAACAACTAACGTGCTTTTCAGCCACGTGCGAAGGTTCCGTCTAAGCAAACAGCCAAACCAGTATCATGTAAGAACCCATTAGGGCTTCAGGTCTAGAGCCCAGGGATACAAGGCTCAGGCAGGGCCTCCGGTAGTAAGTACTTGGCACAAGCGGAGGGACAGAACCCGGAAGAGCTTGTTTTTGCCACACCGCAGTCTGTCGCGCAAAGGCGGCATGAGGGCAAATCAAAGTGCACTAGCATGGCCCTCAATGCCAACTCTGCAATACAACACTCCATCCAACAAAAATCTACGAGTCAAGAAGCATGTCTTGTCCCGGCCCAAGAACCATCAGCCGCGATCCACCTCACAAAGCCCTTTTGCAGCTAGGCTCTGAGTGTTTCCCACGCTCTAAAACCCATCCCTGCTCCTTGCCCGAAGAATTTTGCAACTGCTGCTACACTGCCCACAAAGAGGAATGCTTCTGGCTGCCGCACTGACGTCGATAACGACGAGCAACAGTAACTTGCGACCATTGTGGAACGAGTTGTGACCATACGCATGACCGATGAGAATGTAGTAAGAAACGCTGAAACATGGACCCCCTGGGTGACCAGAAGCAATAAGAAGACTTCTCGTTACAGCCTGACCAAAACGGGGAATTGTGTTTACATTGGACTGTTTCTAGTAACTAGTATCCAACACAAGCATACTGCCAGTTGTGCATGTTTGCGGGGCTGTTGCAGAAGGTGATGTTGATGTAATGGGAGCCAAGCAGGTTCATTGTAGATGCGGATTCTGTATTGAGGGATATGGGGTTCGTGGATGTTCGTGGGCCTACTTCAATCGAGCTTCGGGTGAGCCCGAATCGAGTCATGAAAGCGTTCGGGGTTAGGGCGCAGGTTCAGGTCCCAGCCTTCTCTGTAGAAGGTCATGGCACGGGAAAGCAGAATCTTGTGGGCCCATAAGAACTTCTCCTGCGTGATGCCGTGAGTCTGCAGAAAGTCCCCAATCACTTCCTGGCCCGCTTTGCGAATGTCCTGTTGCTCAGATGAAGCGTGTTGGCTCTGAGTGCTTGGCATCCTCAGAAAGTCCGGGCAAGAAAGTGAGCGAGTTCAGCATCAACAACGGCCAGAACGACTCGAAGCCTGGTTGCTCTCGCCCTTCCAACCCTGCTCCCACGTGCCTCGAGCTCCGCATGTTCTGCGATGATATCCTGCGATGCCGTGGGGGTGGGACACTTGCAACTCGGGCCTTAAAGAGGCTTTGGTCCTCCCAATCCAGGACACAGAGTGCGCAGTTCTGACATGCATGACTAAGGTGTCGGCATGCATCCTCAACTTAAGCATGCCCCCGTCTCGGAACCATGTGGTATATGACTGAGGCGTTGGGAGGTGCGGAGTATCAGAGACTTGCCAGCACATGCCAATGAGTTGACTTAGGCACACTTCGGAAACCCGCTCTGGCAAAACTGGTCCGAGAAATGGCCTGCAATCCACGACTCCGAGAAAGCCCTCTAGACTCTGGATCTTGGCGCGCCGGCCTCACGCATTTCGTGTGCCACCATCTGCCACTTGCTACCGGCTAGAACCTCCAGCTCCTCGTCGGCCCTCGTTGGGTGCAGGGGCTTGGGCTCAAGTCTATGGGATAACCCTTATGACTTATGAACGAGAATCAAAGTGAAGGCCAGCAAAAAGCACAAGGCATTGAAGTGCACCTACTATGTAAAAAGGAACGGAGGGGCAAGTTCAGCGTGTAGCGTGCTGCTGAATCTTTTTTTGGCGAAGCCTCTACGCAAGAGCCCTTGCAAAGTGACGAAAAGATACCCAGTCAAAGTACGGCTTGACATTGAATCCTTATGGAGACTAGTTACCGAAGAGGCTCCAATCAGAGGGTTCTCGCAGAATGCTACTTGCTTGTAACAGTTTGGCCAGCACAGCTATCGCCTGCACTACAAGTCCAAGCTTCCAGTCTAACAAGGTCTCTGTGGTCGTTGCACACATCGTCTTGACGTGCTCATGACCTCCGCGAAGGCAACTTGTCACTTTTTTTGCTAAAGGCTCACGACTATTGCTTGCCAATCGGTTCTGGTCAGTAACATCGTTACGGTTCAGGTGATGATAAATTGCAGTTCAATGTTTGCCAAAACTGCCGCGATGCTTCTTCTGATGTCATTGGTCGTTTGGTGCTTAAGGCTTTGACCTTGGTCCATCTGGACTGCACCATTGCCGAAGCCACAATATGGCCGCAATATCTATCTAGTGTGTCGAGAAGCGAAAGCGCTCGGCTGGCGCACCGTTCGCCACCACAAGAAGGTGCAGTGCAATCCTGGACCATCGTAGCCGCTGTAGCAGTACCAGCAGTCGCGTAGTAGCAGTAACAGTAGCAGTAGCAGTAGCAGCAGTAGCAGTAGTAGAAGCAGTAGCCGTAGCCGCAGCAGCAGC